TGTAAAATTTTGATAACATAAAAATTCATATGATCTGAATCATATCATAGCCATCAACTACACACCCAGGACACTATGTCTGCCCTGGACACTGTCCTGTCTGAGGCGTCGGACCCCATGCCAGCTATATAGGGGCAGCACATGCAAATAGGGCCTCCCTCTACCCATGAAAACTAGCCCAGCCCTCACCCTGCAGCTCTGGCACAGGAGCTCCAGCCCCAGGACTCCCAGGTGTCCACTCAGTGCTCGCACTCAACACAGACGCTCACCATGGGGACTGGGCTGTGCTGGCTTCTCCTTGTCGCTGTGCTCAAAGGTAATGATGGGGAACGCGGGGCACTGAGTCTGGGAGAGGACGTGAGTGAGAGACACAGAGAGTGTGAGTGACAGCTTCCTGACCATGTCGTCTGTGTTTGCAGGTGTCCAGTGTCAGTCGCTGGAGGAGTCCGGGGGAGGCCTGTTCAAGCCTGGGGGATCCCTGAAACTCTCCTGCAAAGCCTCCGGATTCATCTTCAGTGACAACTACGCAATGTGCTGGTTCCGCCAGGCTCCAAGGAAGGGGTTGGAGTGGATCGCATACATTAATACTGGTAGTGGTAGCACATGGTACGCGAGCTGGGTGAATGGCCGATTCACCATCTCCAGAAACACCAAAGAGAACACGGTGTGTCTGAAAATGACTAGTCTGACTGCCATGGACACGGCCGCCTATTTCTGTGTGAGAGACACATGAGGGGCCCTAGGGCTGAGCCCAGACACAAACCTCCATGCAGGGGGCGCACAAGACACACTGAGTGCAGATTCTGGTCATGCACAGGTGCAGAAGGAGCCCAAGCCCTGGTTTCCTGTCAGGGAATTGGGGTTTCCTCTCCTGCAACAGTTTTGAGTGAAGAATTCTTCTTTGATGATTTTGACCCTGTACTGACTCTCTGATGTGACAGAAGAAGTCCTACATGAATGAATTTAGGTTCAGTGGTCTCCAGTATCAGAGATGTGGGACAATCTGGGGACCTCGTGAGTGTTGTCCAGCCTGAGTCAGGACAGAGTTCTTAGGACACTGCCGACTTTAGGGCAATTTTACTTTTCCCTTTCAATCCAGCAATAGCTGAGCCAGGGTTTGAGTTTAAAAATCTGCTATTTAAGTATCTCTCTCCTTTCAAAATGAGCGACTGTGCTGAACTGAACCAACCGTCTTATTTTAAACTGTGAGTGTTCTGCATCATTCTAACAGACTTTATACCCAATCTCCATTTTCCTTTAATCCTGAAACAGTCTGTGGTCCCTGTGTGAACGTCACAGCACTCAGGAATATACTTGCAGCTCAGCTGTGTCTCAGGCTGAGCTTCTGCAGGCACCTGGGAAGCCTACAGGGACTTCCTCATTCTCTAGGTCCTGGGACCCTCCTGGGGGGCTCCCTGCCTGGACTCAGGAGGGAAAAACACTGGACATCAGCAGTCAAGGTCATAACTGAATGGAAAGTGTTGGGTGTGCACTTCCAGCTGGTCTAGTTCTGCTCCAGTGTCGTGAGACCACCTGCACCTGTGTGGTTCAGGGAGAGCAGAAAGTGGGACACACAGTGGCTGTGCACTCTGGGACTGGAGTCCACATCACGGGGAGCTGTGTCTGTGGCTCCAGCATGATGACCAGTGTCCTGAGGCTGAATCACAGCTGCAGGAAGAGCCAGTCCCAGAGACCATTTGTCCAGAGTCCCTGCTCTTCACTCCATGTCTATGCTGACTGGTGTCATCAATCCATTTGGAGTCTTTCAGGCTGCATATCACATTGCTGGATGGAGCCCATTTTCATGCTTTCCCATACTTGTACTGACAATGCACCCTGGAAGAAAGTAGATGGTGGATCTGTTATGAGGCCCCATCACCAAGGTGGGAACACTGATGCAGTTCCAAGCTCCTGGGTTCCAGCTGCCAAGCCTGAGTGCACTGCCTTTTTAAATCATCTCCATAAAACATTGGCAAACACAACACCAGTATGCAGAGATCTGAATCTTCATGACTGGCCATTGTTCATCCTTTTATCCCATGTAGGTAGCATCACATATTATGTGTCTTCCTGGCCTGGATGGTTAGCAGAGTGTACTTTTACTGACATATTATCCTAGGCACATTATTCTCCAGGGTCATCCAAGTTGTCCAAAATTACAGAATTTCTTACTCTGCACTGCTTTTAAACTCCTTTTAAAATGTAACTTTGTCCATTTCTTCATTTTCCATTCTTTCTTTCATGAGATGTCACTGTATCATATGTGTGAACTCTTTTGAATGGACTCTTTTAAATGAACAAGGAACTGTAGAGGTGTTTGGCACAGTGACTGCAGATCCTGTGGACACCTCCCTGGGATGTCATATTCATTGTACCATGCAATGGTGCTTGGAGATCATGTAATAATTCTATTTCTTGTTTTTGATGCTTTTCCATACAGTTTTACTAATTAACCTGACACAGACTTGTACCAGGGTTATCATCTCTCTCTACCTCCATAAAACATGTCAGCTCTGGTATGTCTGATAATAGCCATTCTAACTGGAGTGATGCGATGTCTCATTGTGCTTCCAACATGGACATACATGATGGTCCCAGATTTATAGCATTTTACATGTTTGCCTATATATCTTCTTTTAATAATTTATAGATATTATATAAATTTTAAATTTATCATTTTATTTGAGACCTTGTCTTTATGTATTTGTCCAAAACCACAGAGAGACTGAGACTGTCAGTGATCTTCTAATTCCTGCGTCACTTCCCCAGTGGCTACAAAAGATTTAGCTGGGTCAGGTGACAGCCAGGTGCTTGGAATTCTTTCCAGGGCTCCCACGTGGGAGTACTTGGAACTTCACCTACGGCCTCCCAGAGTGTGCTCAGGCAGGAATATGACACTGGAACCAAACTAGGACACAGCACTAAGCATCCTGATACGGGAGGCAGGAATCCCTCAGGCTCACTCCAGTGCTGCTCCTGTCACCACCTTATCATCACTGCATGTACACAATTGATTTCTTCCCTTGGGATTCAGTTGCTTGAGATCATTCAACATTAGGAAACAGGCTCCTAATCATATGTACAATTAATCTTCAATGTATTTTAAGTCTCTGTTTATTTTATTTTAAAAACAGTGTTATAGCAAGAGAGGAAGAGATCAACAAATGGAGGGAGAATTCCATCCACTGGTTAACTTCCTGAATGGCTGCAAAGGCTGGGGATGGCTCAGCCTAAATTCAGGAGCCTGACTTGGATCATGGTAGACAGTTTTCACCATTGCACTGCCTACCTCTGTGAGTTCAAGCTTGTGCACTGCATGTATAACTAATGTCACATACTGTGTGTCCACATCTACCTGGATCATTTCTTTTAGTATGTATGCTCCAGGCTGACCCACATTTCCTAATGACAGAACAACCTCCTTCTTAATACTGAATAATATTCTTTGTCTAAATGTGAAAGAATCCATTCACTGTTTTATGCACACTTGTTCTTTGTAGACTGAACTATTGTGAACAAAGCTGCATTACCCAAATGCAGGACTGGGGGTGAATTGTGACACAGTGACTTCTACCCAGTGCTTGAGCTAAACTCAGAGTCATGGTTACAGAACAGGGAAGAGTGGCCGGCGCTGTGGCTCACTAGGCTAATCCTCCACCTTGCGGTGCCGGCACACTGGGTTCTAGTCACGGTTGGGGCGCCAGATTCTATCCTGGTTGCCCCTCTTCCAGGCCAGCTCTCTGCTGTGGCCAGGGAGTGCAGTGGAGGATGGCCCAAGTGCTTGGGCCCTGCACCCCATGGAAGACCAGGAGAAGTACCTGGCTCCTGCCATCGGATCAGCGTGGTGCGCCGGCCGCAGCGCGCCAGCTGCGACGGCCATTGGAGGGTGAACCAACGGCAAAGGAAGACCTTTCTCTCTGTCTCTCTCTCTCACTGTTCACTCTGCCTCTCAAAAAATAAAAAAAAGAACAGGGAAGAGTGAACACAGGGCAGCTGATACCAGGGCAGAAAGCACCACCAAAGGCAGGAATAATTCTGCCCACACCACTTTGGGCTGACTCAGTTCACCACAACACACAACAGGTTCCAAGAATGACTAGAACTGAGGTCTCCAGGCCTCCCAACAGAGTGATGGGAAGGAGGTGGAAATGTGAATGACAGTGAGTTCATCTGTGCCCATTTCTACCATGCACATTCCAGTAGCACACAAACCCCACTACCATGTACAGTGTTCTGTGTTCAGGAACAGTTTTAAACAGTTTAAACAGTTTTTAAACTTTAAGGCAATGGATGAATAAGGAACAAAACATAGTTAACCTTAAAAAAATACACTTGAGTATTTTATCTATTTAAAAGTGGGTGACAGGCATTAGGACAAAATTGGCTAAGTCCCCACTAGGGTCACCCGTGTTCCCATCAGAGAACTGACTGAGCCCAGCCTCACGGCTTCCCACACTTTTCCCTCATAATGCATCATGGGAAACTGTAGATGATGCTACAAGCAAATGAACCCCTACCACCCACGTTGGATTACAGACACAGTTTATTGCTCCAGGGTTCAGAAAGACTAACTCCTAGATGTCATAGGCATTTGGGGTGTCTGGGGCTGTCAACCCAAAGGCATAAATTTCCCATTGTCACCTTTTCTGTCCATCTCTACATTTCTGTATCTCTCACCCCTTCTCTCACTATCTCTATCCCAATGTCTTTCATATAGATGATAAGGAACTAATGGTTATTTAAATAAATGAGGGACACGATATTGCTAACACTCGATATGAAGGGTACACACATATTAAAATGAAACAAGGTCATTGCCTTCAACTTTTTAAAATTATGATAACATAAAAATTCACATGATCTTAATTCTATCATAGCCATCACCCAACACACCAAGAACACAGACAACTTCCCTGGGCCCTGTCCTGTTGAGGCATCTGACCCCATGCCTGCTATATAGGAGCAGCACATGCAAATAGGGCTCCCTCTGCCCATGAAAACCAGCCCAGCCCTCACCCTGCAGCTCTGGCACAGGAGCTCCAGCCCCAGGACTCCCAGGTGTCCACTCAGTGATCGCACTCAACACAGACGCTCACCATGGAGACTGGGCTGCGCTGGCTTCTCCTGGTCGCTGTGCTCAAAGGTAATGATGGAGAACACGGGGCACTGAGTCTGGGAGAGGACGTGAGTGAGAGACACAGAGAGTGTGCGTGACAGTGTCCTGACCATGTCATCTGTGTTTACAGGTGTCCTTGTCAGTAGGCGCAGGAGTCCGGGAGAGGCCCTGTGAAGCCTGGAGGAAGTCTGACATTCACCTGCACAGTCTCTGGATTCTCTCTCAGTAGCAACGACATGAGCTGGTTCCGCCAGGCTCCAGGGAAGGGGCTGGAATACATCGGATACATTAGTAGTGGTGGTAGCACATGGTACGCGAGCTGGGTGAATGGTCGATTCACCATCTCCAGAGACACCAACGAGAACACGGTCTCTCTGAAAATGACAAGTCTGACAGCCTCGGACACGGCCACCTATTTCTGTGCTAGAGACACAGTGAGGGGCCCTAGGGCTGAGCCCAGACACAAACCTCCCTGCAGGGGCGCCCGGAACCACGAGGGGGCGCACAAGATGCGCCGAGCGCAGACTCTGGTCATGCACAGGCACAGAGGGAGATGAATCCCTGGTTCCTGTCAGGGAATTGGGGTTTCCTCTCCTGTAAGAGTTTTGAGGAAAGAATTCTACTTTTTGATTCTGTCCCTCCCAACTTCACTGACGGATTGAAAGTTTGATATAAAAGGAAGAAGTCCTAATTGAACAATTTGGTTCATGGACAGCGACTGTGCTCACCAGGGTCAGAGATGTGGGAATATTGAGGACACTATTGAATCTATTCCAACCTGACACAGGACAGCACCCTCAGGGCACTGAAAGCTTTGGACAGTTTCAGTTTTCCCTCATAACCAGGGACAGCTGAGACAGGGCCGTTGATCTGTTAAACAGCAACTATTCCACTCATCCCTCTCCTGCCACAACCAGCAAGTGTGCACTGAACCAACCTTTGACTTTACATGTGGGTGATCCACACTCACTTTCTGCAGACTTTAACCCGACCTGCATTTCCCTTTAATCCTGAAACAGTCTGTGGTCCCTGTGTGAACGTCACAGCACTCAGGAATGTATTGCAGCTCAGCTGTGTCTCAGGCTGAGCTTCTGCAGGCACCTGGAAAGCCTACAGGGACTTCCTCATTCTCTAGGTCCTGGGACCCTCCTGGGGGCTCCCTGCCTGAACTCAGGAGGGAAATGCACTGGACATCAGCAGTCAAGGTCATAACTGAATGGAAAGTGTTGGGTGTGCACTTCCAGCTGATCTGGTTCTGCTCCAGTGTTGTGGGACCTCCTGCACCTGCTGTGGTTCAGGAGAGCAGAAAGTGGGACACACAGTGGCTGTGCACTCTGGGGCTGGAGTCCACATCACAGGGAGCTGTGTCTGTGGGTCCAGCATGATGACCAGTGTCCTGAGGCTGAATCACAGCTGCAGGAAGAGCCAGTCCCAGAGACCATTTGTCCAGAGTCCCTGCTCTTCACTCCATGTCTACGCTGACTGGGGTCATCAATCCATTTGTGTTCTTTCATCAGTATTAGAGAGGGAGACACCAAGGCTGCATATCACATTGCTGGACGGAGCCCATTTTCACGCTTTCCCATACTTGTACTGACAATGCACCCTGGAAGACAGTAGATGATGGATCTCTATGAGGCCCTGACACCAAGGTGGGAACACTGATGCAGTTCCATGCTCCTGGGTTCCAGCCGCCAAGCTTGAGTCCACTGCCTTCATTTATCATCTCCATAAAACATTGGCAAACACAACACCAGTATTCAGAGATCTGAATCTTCATGATTTGCCTCAGTTCACCACAACCAACCATGGGTTCCACGAATAACTAGAACTGAGGCCTCCATGCCTCCCAACACAGAGTGATGGAAAGGAGGTGGAAATGTGCATGACACTGAGTTGATCTGTGACCATTTCTACAACACACAGATTCCAATAGCACACTACACCCCACTACCATGTACAGTGTTCTGTGTTCAGGAACAGTTTTAAACTAAGGAACTGAATGAATAAGGGAACAAAACATAGTTAACCTTAAAAAATCCACTTGCAGTCTTTCATCTGTTTAAAAGTGTGCAGCAGGCATTAGGACAAAATTGACTAAGATCCCACTTGGGACACCCCTGTTCCCATCAGATTGTTGCTTGTGCCCATCCTCACAGTTTCCAATACTTTTTCCTGATAATACATCATGGGAAACTGTAGATGACACTACAAGTGAATGAGACCCTCCCACTGATGTGGGACACACAGTTTTCTGCTCCAGGTTTTAGAAAGTCTAACTCCTAGATGTCTCAACATTTATGTTTCTCTCACTCCTTCTCTCTCTGTCACTGTTTCAATGTCATTAGAATAGTTAATAATGAACCAATGGTTATTTTAAAAACGAAGGACATGATACTGCTAACATGGGATATAAAGAGTACAAACATATTAAAATGAAATGAGGTATTGCTTTCAAATGATTAAAAATAATAAAGTAAAATTTGCCTTGATCTGAATCCTATCATAGCCAGAGATCTGCATCTTCATGATTGGCCGTCATTGCCATTTCATATTCATAAATGTTTGATAAATAATATTTAATATAGACATATGAGTTACAATGATATGTGTTGAATAAATGAATGTATACTGAGTGGAATAATGACGTCAGACTTACTGACATGTTTATCACAAAACCCACGTTTTTCATGGTAGAATGTCATTTGTCCAATGTCTTGGAATTCTGCAGACACTATCTTCGCTTTACTGCTGTCACCATGCTGCACAGTAGATCCCTCAACATATGGATCCTGTAGGACTGAAACTCTGACCTTGCTCCCGTGTCTCCTCTGTTCCTCCCAAGCACAGACGTTGGTCTTCACCATCGAACTTTTGCCTTGTGAGTTCATCCTTTTATCCCACGTAACTAGCATCACATATTATTTGCCTTCTTGGCCTTGGTATTTTAGCAGAGTATACTTATCCTGACATATTATCCTTGGATATTATTCTCCAGGATCATCCATGTTATCCAAGATACCAGAATTTCTTCCTCTATACTATAGCCATATAAACTTCCTGTTAAATATAACTCTGTCCATTTGTCCCATTATCCATTCCTTCTTAAATGGAAATTTTCCTGGATTATATGTGTGAACTCTTGAGAATGATGCTGCTTTAATTGAACATGGGACTACAGAGGTGTTTGCCATAGTGACTGCAGAATATTGTGCCATCAGGCATGATAATATTGTGAATATCATGGCAGTCTTTAGCCTAATATTGTGAACACGGATGGGAGAGACCCCATCCCCACACAGGACTTCAGACGAGACCAGGGCTGACTCTAGCAGCACTGTGCTCTGTGCTGAAGCTGGGGACCCAGGATCTACTGTGATCTCCTCCATAGCAGATTCCCCAGGAATGAACAAATCCCACTAGGCCTCACTCCCAGAGCTCCCATATTTTCTCCCATGGTCTTCCTGGGAGCACACCTAAAACACAATGCCTTTGGGACACACTGAGCTGTGGTGGAATGAGAAGGCCATGCCTAGATGGCTGCTGGCAAGCAAGCATCAGTTACTCAGGCATGGCTTCAATGCCACCTGGCAATGGAGCCTGCCTGGCAACAGGGTGTGATTGGATGGCTTCAGATACTGCCTGGCAACAGGCTGTGATTGGTTAGGCATAAACTGCCCCTTGACCAGATTGGCTGCCTCGGCTATATAAGCGGCTGTACCTACTGAAACAAATGAGTCTGCGGGCTGCTCACCTCTGACCTGCTTTCACCCAACTCCCGGGGTCTGTGTGGTGACCCCGCTCCACTTGCCCCCACCAGAATGAATCCATAGCAACACTGAGCCACACACAATCAGAGAAGTTTGCTTCTATACCCATTGTAGGCCTGATGACGCAGAACCTGTCGATCAGGATGAACAAGCCAATTGTGTATCACAGTTATTTTGAGACTGCAGAAGACTCAGAACAGTTCTAAACACAGCTCATACAGATAGTTCCTTCTTATTCCTTTTGGATACAGGCTATTGATCATACATTTGATATGAGAATAGTCACTTCCAATCTGTGTGTAGGCTGCTCACTTCTCAGTCAGTCTGTTTGTAATGCAGAAGCTCTGTAGTTTATGCAGCATCATTTGAGAATATTTTTTTGGTCTCTTGAATTTTGAAGATCTGAAAGGGAAATCATGGCCAGACCAACATCAGGGAGATTTTGCCCAAGGTTTCCTTCAGTAGTTTTACAAGGACTTTGCATTTGACATCAGAGTCTGGTTATTCCATGCTTTTTATGTAAACATCCAGACCGTGTACCCCTTGTCAGTGTTGTTACGTTGGGGCCATGCTCAGCACTGATGGTGTGAGGACAAATCACATCCACCCCCAGCAGGCTGCTCCCAGCATTCTGTGTGGTCCTGTTCAGAGCACTGGAGACCTCAGCTTCCTCCATGAGGCCCTGACGTTGAATCCACTCATGGCGTGGAGTCGTCACTGGATGCACTCCCCAGAGATGATGCCATTCCATGTCTCCCAGGCACCTGTGCATTTGAAGTGGAGCAAGCAGAATCTGAACCCATGCTCCTGTGTGATGCATGCATAGGGATGGCAGCTTAACCTGCAGGGCCACAACATTGGCCCCCATGGGTGTCATCTGAAAATACTTTCTCCCCATCTGCGGGCGACTCCTGGTTCTTCATTCTTTCTCTTTGTTGCTCAGAATCTGTAGTTGGATCCATTATTCATTGTCTGTGTATCTTGGTTGCCTGTACTTTGGAGATTATCAAACTATCATTGCCCAAACCAATGGGAACTTGCTTTGGTCCAGTGTTTTCCTCTAGAACTTTACAGTTTTGGGTCTTGCCTTTAAGAGTTTCATCCTGTTCACTCTCTTTGGGATACTGGTGTGAGATGACAGCATGATGAATTATTTTCAGGTGCATTCAAGTTTCCCAAGCACCATGAAATTCCGCATTCAGTTTCCTGAAACATTTCAGATGACCTCATTGCATGAACCCATGGGAAGCACAGGTG